TTTTCTTTTCTTTTTTCCCCGTCGATCACGTACAATGTTCATGACTATCTCTTCTCTATATTGCTGTATAACACGTATTCATTAATTATATGTACCAATATATATTTATATATATATATAATATTTATGGACTTTGTTCATTCATCTCTCAAAGTTAAACAGTTATCATGATGACGAATATCCAACCCTTCCTAGTGGTATATCTCGCACGCTACTTTGAATCTTCTCCAAGTTACACCTCATACCCAGATATAATATACATATACATATATATATATATGTTATTCCTAGTTCACTAAAAAAAAATTATGCGTTATACCCAGATAATTCATTCTTAATTATATGTGGTTTTATATATACAAACACCATACAATATTCTGTCTACGTATATACACACATATATAACTTTTTCTGGATTTGTTTTTGTGTGGTTACATATATGTCGTGGGTGTATATATAGACATAAACATATAGAAAGAGAGAGACTAATGAATGTACAGTTTGAATTTTTAAGTTGGTGAAAAATTTCAGAGAGGAGAAAGTGAAGGGAATCACACATGGGAAGTAAAACATGGATTATGACGACGATGAAGGAGGTGAAGAAGGTGAGCGGAGTAGCAGGTCCTATGGTTGCAGTCATGGTGATTCAGAGCCTCTCCCAAGTGGTTTCGTTAATGATGGTCGGCCATCTCGATGCTCTCTCCCTCGCCGGAGCTTCCATAGCCACCTCCTTCACCAACGTCACCGGCTTCGCTTTTCTAGTAAATTACATCTTTGTCCTTCTCAACTGTCTTCCTAAATTTCTGCATGCCCCATGCACGTAAATTACATAACTATCTAATCAATCTCTGTAACACCATTTCTTTTCTTTCTTTCTGTGATTAATTTTGCCAGCTCGGCATGGCCTGTGCGCTAGAAACTCTCTGCGGACAAGCCTACGGAGCCGAACAATACGAGAAGCTCGGAATTTACACTTACGGCGGAATCACGTGTCTCATCGTACTTTGCTTTCCGATATGTCTGATCTGGACATTCACCGACAAGATACTGATGCTCGTCGGCCAAGACCGGGAAATCTCCATCGCGGCTCGGAACTTCTCGGTGTGTCTGATTCCGAAACTATTTGCATACGCGGTGTTGCAGCCACTGATTAGATTTTTTCAGACGCAGAGTTTGGTTCTGCCATTGTTGGTCTCCTCTTTTGCGACGTTGTGCTTTCAGGTGCCACTGAGTTGGGTGATGGTATTTAAATTTGAGTTGAAAAGCATGGGAGCAGCGTTGGCGTTGGGAATTTCTTTTTGGTTTTACGTCTTCTTGTTGAGTTTTTATATCATCTTTTCTTCAAAATGCCAAAAGACACGCGGTGCAACATTTTCGAGAGATTTTCTCCAGAGAATCTGGGAATTCTTTCGTCTAGCTGTTCCTTCTGCTGCAATGGTCTGGTAATTTTTATTTTCTATTAAATTTAATTTAATCTTTTTTATTTGAAATTCATACTTACTTTAAATATGAAATGGTATAACTATTTATTATATTAAACTTTAGGATAATCTTAAATTAAAAATTTTTATTTCATGAAGCTGGTTTTTTTAATATCTTTCAAATTTTTTTTCCCAGAAAAAGTTCAACACATTTTACTCTGAATTTAATTAATTTCTAATATTCTTTCCTTGTTTTTTTATTTTTTTTATTTTTTTGGGGTCTGATTTTACAGTCTCGAATGGTGGTCATCTGAGGTTCTGATTTTGCTATCTGGAATTTTACCAAATCCCAGGATTGAGACATCTGTTCTTTCTATATGGTATGCTGTATCTTCCTTCTCTTTTCTTGGAAATTAATTTATATAATGAGCACAAAAAAGGGCACCAATATATATTATTATATGTAAAATTTATTTGTAAATATATAATTATTTTACTTAAAATGATAGTGATCATAAAAAAGTGATAATAATTAAATTCATATGAAATTTTACATATTACTGAAAGAGTGTATTTCAAACTCTATTAATATTGATCAAATTTAAAATGTATTGTTGCTTTCAATTCTACCTATAAGTATTGCAATTGTAAATTAATTATATATCATTTTAAAATTTATTCCAACCATAACCTTAATTAAAATAAAATTATATAAAATATATGTTGTTTCGAGCATAATCTTATTACAAAAAATCATATATTTTTCTAATTAATCAACTTAAATTTTTATTAAATTATTAATTCCTTATTTATTAATTTTTCATAGCATATATTTTCTCGTAACTTCTGTTCATTTTTCTTTTTCCCAACGACCAGCTTCACAATTACTTATATTCACTACTTCGTTCCTTACGGATTTGGTGCCACTGTAAGGTTTGCTCCAAATTTTGTTTTTTCTTTAATGGAATTATTTATCTATATAAATTTATTTTATCACTTCTACAATAAATCACGCGGTTGTCTATTGATTACAATCTTTATATTATACATAAAAACTACTAAGTTTAAACCCAACTAAAAGCATACAACTCGATAATTTGTGTATAGTCAATCTTTAACAACTCGATAAATTGGGTTAAATATTAGCAACTCTGTCATATTTTTAACAAAAAGAATATTTAGGTATAATTAGATTTCTTAGTTGGGATAATTGCGACGAATTAAAATTTTAATAAATTATTTCAAAAAATTAGTAGTTTGTATCCATATCATGTGTATAGTGAATTTAACCAAAGAATATATTGCAGTACTAGAGTTTCTAACGAGCTAGGAGCGGGCAATCCAAAGGCGGCTAAGATTGCCGTCGTAGCCATATTAGTTCTTGCAGTAACAGAGGTTGTCATTGTAGCGGCGGTTTTGTTCTTTTTCCGGCATATTTTGGGATATGTATTCAGCAACGAAAAGGATATTGTGAATCATGTGTCGGATTTGGGTCCTTTTATGTGTCTGTTAATGACTGTGGACTGCTTACAAGCTGTTTTTTCAGGTAAATTAATTCGTTAACCTTATTTCTTTTATGTTTAAAACAAGGAATTTGATTTTATATATATATATATATATATATATATACACACACACACGACAACATTCATTGGAAATTTTATATTCAATTGACCCATAGTTTTGAAAAGAAAAATCTAGATTGAAAAATCTTTACTCGAATCTTCTTTCAATCTTGGAACTCTCTCCCCAGAATGTAATCTGAAACAGAGTAAAAAGGAAAATATATAGAGTAGATGTAAATTTGTTGGGTAAATTTCGGGAACTGGTAGAAGAAAAAAAATACCCATTTGAACTCTGTTTCTCGTTTTTCTTATCCCTTTTAAAAACCCTCCCTTCAACTTTGGGATATTGACCAACATGTCATCTGAAACAGAGTTAAAAAACAGAGTAGATGTAAATATGTTGGGTAAATTTCAAGACCTAGTAGTTTGAAATATGTATATATATATATATATATATATTACCCATTTTAGCTCTGTTTCTTATATTCTTATCCCTTAAAAAGCCTTCCTTCAACTTTGGGATCCTGCACCAAAACATGTCATCTGAAGCAGAGTAAAAAGAAAAAAAAGCAGAGTAGAGGTAACTTTTTTGAGTAAATTTCAAGACCCAGTAGAAAAAAATCATTACCCATTTGAACTCTGTTTCTTATTTTTGTAGTCCCTTGAAAACCCTTGATTCAACTTTAGAATTCTGACCAACATGGCATCTGAAACAGAGTAAAAGTAAATCTAAGGCGTAAAAATGAAATGGTGATTTGTATATAATTAATTTTAATTCCAGGAGTTGCAAGAGGGAGTGGATGGCAGAAGATTGGAGCGTATGTAAACCTAGGAGCATTTTATCTTGTTGGAATTCCGCTGGGTGCGGTGTTAGCTTTTGTTCTGCATCTCAAAGCCAAAGGCCTTATGATTGGCTTCATCATGGGCACTTTTGTACAGGCCACTCTGCTTGTTCTCACTACACTTTTCACCGATTGGCAAAAGCAGGTATACATATATATTATTTTCTAGAAAGAAAGTCAAGATTTTTTTCCATTATTTTTGCTGGGTCTTTGTTGATTTATACTCTATATACATCATGTTAATAAATTAGTTTTCTAATTAAGAAAAGTTAATTATAATTTTATTTCATCTAATCTGGTTTTTTTGTAACCTAAATTCAATTACTTTCAAAATTCAGTTGTTCGGATTTGGTTTATTAATTATTTGACATAAAAGTGATTAATTTTAAAAGTATTATTTTATAATTTTCATTTTCATCCATTTACTCTTGCAATTAACAGTAAAATTAAGATTTACCATAGAATTATTACTGGCAACAAATAAATAAATAAATAAAAAGGATACTTAATGGGTGAAATATGTGTTAATTTTCAGGCATCAAAAGCTAGAGAGAGGATGTTTCAATCAAACGACGTCGTAGTTTAACTTCCACAAGCCAAGCCATAATTTTTTCGTGGCATTATTGAATTTTCCAATTCTTCCTTCACATTATAATGTAATCAATCAAGTGATATTACACCCTTAAATCAAGTGTGTAATATTAGTTGATGAAAAAAAAAAAAAAAACATAGCTTTGGGAAAACAAATCATCACAGCAAAAATATATTGATTCTATAATTTTTCAAACGGAGAATAGACAGTTGGTTATTAATTTTGTCAAAATAATGTTAGAGACGATAAAGAGTCAGATTTGGACAAGTTTAATTAAATATGAATTAGTATATTCATATGAAAAATATTATTTCAAATCATTGAATAGCATAATAATTTAATGTTTAATATTTATATGTTATATTTAAAAAATTACAGATTTAAAATTTATTTTACTATAAAAAATTTATTTATAAATAAAATATTAGTTATCAGTTTATAATGTTTAATTCTATTAAATTAATGGCTTACGCACTAATATGTATAAACAAATGTGATAAAATCAAATTAAATATTATCCAATCTTTTAATTAAGATTAGTGGGAATGATTAAAAAATCTAAATAACTTTACAAAATGAGTGATGAGGAATCCAATTATAGATATTAATATGATACTTTTAGGCTTTATTTTTATGGTTCTCATTGCTAGTAGTCTCGTTTTAAAGTGTGACACGGACAATATTCTTTTTTTTATGTATTAATCCATTTCGTTATATATATGTGTGTGTGTGTGTGTGTGTATATGTATCTATAAACATATATATATATATATATATATATATATATATATAAACACTCGCAAAAGGAAAACATTTTGGTGAAATATTATTAAATGCAGCACACCCAAATTGATCAAATTATTGCAGTGTCTTTGGAAAAATAAAGTTAGGGCTAGGCTATTAAATAAATAAGAGTTTTGGATTACAATAATTGTATAAATTCACCAACAAGTCATTAAATAAATATATTATATGGTACTATACCAACATAAAGTTTTTCTTCATCTTGCAACCTTTTATGTAAGAACAAATTAAAAGTATATTTATCAATATATGTTAAATATTTATTGGTATATGTATCATTGTATTTATTAATATAGGTATAAATATATTTATTATAATAAATTTTTTTAGAATTCGACTATAATTTGGCTTCTCCTTTTTTTTTTTTTTAATTCTAATTCTAATTCTAATATGAACCGACTCAAATATGAATTTTAATAGAAAAAGTACATTGAATCGAGTTTAAATGAGTTAGATTAAGTTGATTTGGGTGTAAAGTAATGATCTAATACTAATTTTTTTTTATAAAAAAAAATTTAAATTAAATACTTGAATATCATAACAAAGCTACTTTTTCTTTTAGCAATTATGCTATAGTTTTCTCCAATTTACACGCATTGGTTGTTAATATCCGATTATATATATATATATATATATATGTATACTTATATTATTTGAAACTATTAAATATCATTTGATAAAAATGCAACGGCTAATTGTGGGTTCGTGCAAATAAGCATGTGTCATATTGGTGATATACTGTTTTGTGAAATATTTGTTGGAGAGATTAGGTTATGTAAGTTATATATAGATATATTTATATCTTATATACGTATGAAATTAAGTGTAATCTTCACGGTATCAAGCTATATCATTAAAA